TCCTTCCAGCAGCAAGTTAAAACATTTTTATGCCACCAGACTTATAGCGTGACTGGGATGGGCTTCTAACGTTGTGCTGTACTGCTTTATATTGTCTCCTAATGAATTTTAATGTTCTTAACTTCATAAATGACTCGACTGTCTTTTAAAATAATTTTTATATTTATACTTTTATTGAAGCTTTTGTACAGTTTTTAAGCTGGATTGTTTTGAAATATGTTGTACCACAAATGTCATAATTGGGAGGAAAGAAGGATACACATGATGATGATGATGATGATGATGATGATGATAAATAATGTGAGAAAAGAGAGTGAATGAGAAAGAAAGAAAAAGAAACTAGAAAGAGAGAATGAGATCACAACCCTGTAAGAAAGTCAGGATTGCAAGGGGAGCGGTTGCTTCCCTCTTGCCTACAAAGCTGGCAAATTCACGGTCATTTCCCACAGTCCCTGGGGAAGGCTGGGTGCCCCGACTACCTCGAGCGGTGGATATCGCCAAACAATTCACAGCAGGAGAATTAGGTCACTCTAGACAAAACCTGTTCATACTCATTGGCGAACAGCCAAGAGCTGGTGCGAGGGAGTTCACAGGAAAAGAAAACAGTTGTGCTTTCATGCGGCAAGCTTGAGCCTTAATGGAAAGTTAACTGTGGTGGCTCAGAGAAAAACAAAACAACACAGAAACTTAACTCTGCATTTATCACATCCTGCTCTAAGCCCAAACATTTGGAAATTATGTTATAGGTTCATGGCAGGTTTCCATGTCTATAGGGAGATTTTGGGTATGGAGACACCAGCTCCGAATGCATCAGGTCTGCATACTCTTCTCAAAGAGCCACTGTGGTGTTGTGGTTTAAGCACTGGACTTTGACTCTAGAGACCAGGGTTCGAAGCTCAACTTGGCCATGTAAATCACAAGGTGACCTTAGGTCTCTGGTTCTCAGCCTCAGGGAAAGGCAATGGGAAACCTCCTCTGAACAAATCTTGCCAAGAAAATGCCATGGTTGATTCACCTTAGGGTTGCCATAAATTGGAAACGACTTGAAGTCTTCTCTGGTCCTGAGGATGAGAGGGAGGAATTTCAGGAGGAAAGTACTGCTTTGGAAAGGGAATGTACCTTTATTTTCATTGTTTAGGCTTGGTATATATTTTCCCTCAGTGACATGCTCTGTGCAACTATGGTTGCTGTATCATGCTTAATGCTATCACCAGGCCCACCCCATGATACATGATTATTTATTTATTTATTTATTTATTTATTTCATTTGTACGCCACCTTATTGCAGGAAAGGACCCACAGGCTTACCCTTGGTCTCAGGCTCTGGCCCTGAAATCTCAGGATCTGAGAATAATAGACCTGACCTAGCAACCTAAGTGTCAATTAACAATATGGTTATTAACAATTAGCTCCTGCAATCCTTCACTATTGGCTATGATGGATAAGACTGATGGAAATTCCAGTCTAGTAAAATCTGGAGGATCAAATTATGTTGGTTTGTTCAGGGGCCAATTTGGAATCCTCTGAGGGCTGAGATGTAGCTCCATCCCTGCTTCCCTCTTGAGAATACAAGCAATACGCAAGATCTGTGGTTGTAAGTCAGTTTACAAGCATAGATTCACAGAACATAGAGTTGGAAGAGACCACAGGAGCCATCAAGTCCAACTCCCTGCCATGCAGGAACACACAACCAAAAACAGATGGCCATCCAGCCTCTGTTTAAAAACCTCCCAAGGAGAAGACTCCACCACACTCCAAGGCAATGTATTTCTCTGTCGAACAGCTCTTACTATCAGAAAGTTCTTCCTAATGTTGAGGTGGAATCACTTTTCCTGTAGTTTGAATCTATTGCTATGGGTCCTATTCTCTGGAGCAGCAGAAAACAAGCTTGCTCCGTCCTCAACATGACATCCCTTCAAATATTTAATCCTGGCTATCATGCCACCTCTTAACCTTCTCTTCTCCAGGCTAAACATACCCAACTTCCTTATGTCCAAAACAGACTGCAGAAATAATCCAGTTTGAGACCACTTTAACTCCCTTGGTTCAGTGCTAGAAAATTCTAGGAACTATAGTTCTGTGAGACATTTAGCCTTCTCTGTCAGAGAGCTCTGGTGCCACAATAAACTACAGTTCCCAGGATTGCCTAGCACTGAGTCAGGGCATTTAAAGTGGTCTCAAACTGGATTATTTCTGCAGTGTGTTTTGGACCTAAGTCGCTACTCATAGGGCATGGTTTCCAGACCTTTCATGATATAAATAACAATGTTGTTATGCTTCCATCATAGTCTGCACAGCATAAGCTATTCAAATAAAAACACCAAATTTAACAAATGACAAACAGACGTGTCTTGGTGTTTGTGTTAAGAACACACTTTTCAAGACAGTCTTCTCATTCTAAGATTCTTCCCCTTCAACCTAAGGACCAGAGGAAAGGAGCCATGGCCTGAAATCTGGAAGTCTACCTGGTACCCATGTTAAAAAAATGGCACAGGCCCTTCTCAATGGAAGCAACCATTTTTTAATAGGAAGCATTAACAATTTACAGTCTTTTCTTGGCAGCCACTATCATTTGCCTAAGGCAGTTATCACATTCTGCCTAATAACAGGGTTGGACCTGCATGCAAATCCACTATCTGCCTTCCCTTGGTAACATCTATGGAGGGCAGCTGGAGGCACAGAGAAAGATGCTTTCCCTCCTCGACTAATATGCACCAAAGGTTTTAATAACTAACAAATCAAGTTTTCTGTTTTTTGGTCTTTTGCTTTCAAAGGCATCTGAAATGTGTCCTATTTTTTGGATTTTTTAAAAAGAGCTATTCAGCTCCCAGCAAATGTTTTAAGGATGCTGACCTCTTCAATTCTTCCATGGCAATTATGGTATCACCAAGAAAAACTGGAAGTGGGGAAAAAGGGAAAGAAACCGCTCCCGCGATCTAGTTCCATCTGTCCTTGGAGGAAAGAAAAGAAAAGAACATCTCTGCAATTTTTTCTCAGGCTGTCGCCTCTTCCTATCTGCTTCACAACCTAACACTCATGATAGCCTAATGAATGGCCACTGTTTCATCCTTTTAAAAGCTTTAAAAAACCCAACCCAACCCAAACACTGTCCTCATTCATGCTGGCTGAGTTTCAACTCTGATCCTTATCCTCAAGTAAAGCATCTTCAAAAGCTCTCTGCCATTTTGCCAACTTTTTATTTGTGATAGTGTAGTATAGTGGTTTACGTGTTGGACTATGACTTTGGAGATCAGGGTTGGATTCCCTGCTTGACCATCTAAACACATAAAGTGACCTTGGGCAAGTCACACTCTTTCAGCCTCAAAGGACGGCAATAGCAAACTTCCTCTGAACAAATTTTGCCAAGAAAACCCCATGATAGGTTCACCTTAGGGTCAACATAAGTCATAAGTATTTGTATTTGCGTGTCATCATACGTATTTGTATATTTGTGTTTATGTAATAAAGATTTAAATTAAAAAAATGACTTGAAGGCACACAACAACAACACTAGGTTTTTAGGCTATACTAGGGTTTGGTGTGTAGTGGTTTGAGCACTGGACTATGACTCTGGAGAACCTTAGGATCAACATAAGTCAGAAAATGACTTGAAGGCACACAACAACAACAAAACTAGGTTTTTAAGGCTGTAGTACGGTTTAGTGTGTAGTGGTTTGAGCATTGGACTATGACGCAGGAGAACAGGGTTCGAATCCCTGCTCAGCCAAGAAAACCCCATGATAGGTTCACCTTAGGATTGCCATAGGTTTGGAATAACTTGAAGGCACTTAACAACAAGACGTTCCCCTTTATGACAGTGTTTTTCAAAACTGTGAAACGCCTCTGCCAGGTTGCCTGGTGTGTTCCTCTTGTGGTCACTGTGGGTCTTGGCTATGAGCTGTTCATGATGGCTTCCATGATCTAATAAAGAAAATATACCACTGAGCACACAAACCATGTTGTGGACAGATCTATTGCTATAGTTTAACCTCCAAAGTGTTGTCTTATTAGGGTCAGGATCAGACAATGAGCACTGGCAGACATAAAAGAAAAATGAGAAAAATGAGGCATATCAGCATGTTTGGAGAAATCCTGTGAATTGAGGGTATATAAATGGCCTGTAGGGTTCCCAGAGTGAAAAATGGAGATGGCTTCTGTACCTTGAATGGTTTGTGTAGAAGAGGGAATGCTAGCAGGTAATCTGCTGAATTTGCTTGTAATCTGGTTGTGTGACAAAGGACACCTGCTGAAACTCTCGCTTCTACATAAATATTACAGGTACAGGAACCTTCTCTGGTTTTAAACACGTTGTTGTTGTTGTTGTTGTGTGCCTTCAACTCGTTTGTGACAAATGGTGACACTAAAGTGACCCTATCATGAAGTCTTCTTGGCATGTTTCTTCCGAGGGGGGGATTTGCTATTGCCATCTTCTGAGGCTGAGAGAGTGTGACTTGTCCAGAGTCAGTTCAGTGGGGGAAGCTATGCTGTGCTCTAGTTCCAGCTTCTGTCAGTGGGATGGTGTATCCATTCTGGATTTTCATCCAAACTTTAAAGGAGATATCTCCCTCAAATAAGTGCAACTTCTTGGATAGCTCCTTGAAAGTACCTTGGATAGCTCCTTTATTGTACATTGCCCTGGGATCCTCTAATATTGGATGGCAGCAGGTGTGTTTTTTTGGGGGGGGAAATATAAATATTTTTAAAATAAATAAAGTCTGGACTAAAACACAAAGTGGATTCACAGCTACCCTTCCCCACTTTACTAACACCAAAATCACCAGCTGCCACTTCTGCGTTCTTCATTAGTCTACAACCAACATAAATCTTTTCAATTACTCTCACTGAATGAAGGAAACAAGTTTAGTTTTTGGAAAAGTTCCATCTCTTAAAAATCTTTATTTTATTGGATCCCCCCCTCTTCAGCAAGCACAGGTTTCCTACATGCTTTATTGCTGCCAATCTCGGTTATATTTTTGGCCCCATTCACCAGCAAACATTAAAATTGCTGCCTGCCAAAAAACGTGGGTTTGGCTGATCGAAGTCATCCCTTCTTAAGAAAGAAGCTTTCACAACTGTCAAGAAACTTAACACCTACTGTTTAAACCAAGGAATGTGGTTCATTTCCCCCAGGGATGCAGGGAAAGCTGTGTTTGTCCCCTTCTCCCAAGGAAGAAGAATATACCGTGAAGGATATTGTTTCCCACAAAGGACAACTCCATGTTTTAAGAAGGGAACAAGTAGCACTGTCAAAGTGATTTGTCCTATTAAAATGGAAAAGCCACTGCAAAACTCCACAAATTTACTCTGGTCAAAGAATCATTCTCACACACACACATATATATACACACATACACATAACATATATGCTCAGCCCTCCGTATTCACAGATTCAAGCATCCACGGCTTGAAAATATTCCAAAAATATATAAATTCCTAACAAGCAAATCTTGATTTTGTCATTTTATATAAGGGTCACTATTTTACTATCCATTGTCTTTAATGGGACTTGAACTTCCATGGATTTTGATATCCATGGGGGGAGGGGGGGACTTGGTACCAAATCCCAGCTGATAACAAGGGCCCTATATTGTTGTTGTTGTGTGCCTTCAAGTCACTTCTGAATTATGCTGACCCTAAGGTAAACCTATGATGGGGTTTTCTTGGCAAGATTTGTTCAGAGGAGGTTTGCTATTGCGTTCCCCTGAGGCTGAAAGACTTGCCCAAGGTCACTCAGTAGGTTTCCATGCCTGATCTGGAATTGCACCCTGGTCTCCAGAGTCACAGTCCAACACTCAAACCATTACACCACTCTGGCTCTCTCTTGTATATCACACACACACACAGAGGATGAATCTCCCTTACCCGAAATGCTTGGGACCTAGGGTTACCATATCCTGCTTTTTGCCGGGCCATTCATGGTTTTTAAGGGTCTTTGGGATGACCCACCCAATTTTGGGATTATGTCCTCGCAAGGGCAAAGCCTCCCTGACCCTGGTGCAGCTGTGTGGGGGCTTGGCCAGCCGGCCGGCCAATTAAACCCCAAAGACATCTAGGGGGCAAGTCCTCCCTTGTGTGGCTGTGCAGGGCCTCCACCAGCTGGCCAGCCAAGTCACGAGGCGAGGTTGCAAGGAAGTCCAGAGTGGCAGGGCCTTCTCCTGGCCTCAAAGCTGCCGCTGCCGCCTTCTTTGCTGAAGGAGGTCTCGGGGGCCAGTGAGGCATTGTTCAGCCTTTCTTCTTCCTCTTCCTCTTCCACGAAACTGTGGCCTAGTGGCAGTGGCCAAAAGTCAAGGAAGCAAGGGGCTGGAGCAGGGAGCGTCCTCCATTGCAGACTTTTTTCCAGGTCCAGGAATGAGGGATGCCAACTCGTCCTCCATATGGAGCATGGTTTGTGTTTGTGGTGCGCCTTCAAGTCCTTTCTGATTTAGGGCCACTCTCTGCTGGGGCTTTCTTGGCAAGATTAATTCGGGGTTTTGTGTGCCATGACCTTCCTCTGAGACTGAGAGAGTGTGCTGGCCCAAGGTCACCCATTGGGTTTCCATAGCCAAGTAGGGATTCAACCCCTGGTCTCTAGAGTTCTAATCCAACACATAAACCATATTAATGTTTTATTTTATTTTATAAATGTTTTTGGCTTTTAGTTGGCTGTGTCTTCCATTTTTCTTGAATGTCCTACATTTTGTCCAAGTTTTGTGGAAGAGAATTATGGCAACCCTACTGGGACCAGACATGTTTGTAATTTTAGGGTGGTAATTTTGGAATTTAATTTTCATATACATACAAAAAGAGATATCTTGGAGATAGAACCCAAGCCTAAACACAAAATTCATTTATGTTTCACGTACACCTTAAACGTGAAAGGCAGCATGGCGTAGCGCTTTGTGTGTTGGACTGTGACTCTGGAGATCAGGGTCTGATTCCCAACTCAACCATGAAATCCACTGGGTGACCTTGGGCAAGTCACGTATTCTCAGCCTCAGAGAAAGGCAATGGCAAACCTCCTCTGAATAAATCTTGCCAAGAAAACCCTGTAATATGTTTGTCTTAGGGTCGCCATAAGTTCGAAATGACTTGAAGGCACACAACAACAAACACCTTATACACATAGCCTGAAGATAATTTTATACAATATTTTTCAATGAGTTTCTGCATGAAATAAAGTTTGTGTATTCTGAACCACTAGAAAGCCACTCCGGGGGTGGTGGTGGGGATTGGTTTCTGGAATATTTTGGATTTTGAATGGTAGGATAAGGGAGACTCAACTTGTGGGCATGTGTGTGAATAAAACTATATATCTGCTGACTAAGGAAACAGCCTAGTTTTTCAGAAAGAGAAGGCAGCCATAGAAGGGACCTCAAGGGCCAAGTTTTTACTACCAAACCCTCTAACAAGTCCAACTCACTGTCAGTACAGGAATCCACAGCTAAAGTATCCCTGAGAGGTGGACATCCAACCCCTATTTAAACTCTCCGAAGAAGGTGAGTCCACCAATTTTTGAAGTAGTCTGCCCCATTATTGAAGAGCTCTAATGTTCCAGCGTTTCTCCTAACAGTCAGAATCTCCTTCTTTGTAATGTGAATCCATTGATTTGTATCTTAACCTCTGGAACAGACAGAACATAAACCTGCTTCATGTTCCACATGATAGCCTTTCAGATATTTAAAGACTGCTATCATGTCACATCTCAGTCTTCTCTTCTCTGGTCTAAACATACTCAGTTCCCTAATCTGTTCCTCAGAAGGCTTGGTTTCCAGACCCTTCAGTATCTTGGGATGCATCTACATTGTAGACATAAAGCAAGTTGACACCACTTTAACTATCATGGCTCCATCCTACAGAATCTTGGTATTTGTAGTTTTGTCAGGCACCAGCACTGTTGGGCAGAGAAGACCTTGTAAACCTACAAGTCCCAGGATTCCATGGGATGGAGCTATAGTACTTCAGGTGGTATCAAATTGCATTTTATTTCCAAAGTGTAGCTGCATCTTCAAATCTATCTCGCTGTAGAAATTGAAAAATGCAAGCCTCTTGGCGATGGGTCCAGTAATTGACTGTTCCTCCATCAAAGTATCATGAATTTATATCACAAATTCATATGCAAGTGAAACCAAATTATATTTGGATGCTCTGGGCTTCAAACCCCCCAGTTACTGGGTTCTTGTACTGATTGAGTCGACATGGAGGCATCTAACAACAAAGGAAGGATGATGTATGCCCTCCTCTATAAAATGAAAGAAGGGTGAAATAAAAATGAAATCATTTCCTCTATCCATGATGTT